TTATTTCTTTCCCTGTGTGCTGCGTCACGTTTATTTCTTTCCCTGTGTGCTGCGTCACGTTTATTTCTTTCCCTGTGTGCTGCGTCACGTTTATTTCTTTCCCTGTGCCAACAGTGTCTCTACCAGTTCTTTGTGCCCAGTCAAGTTTGACAAAAATAAATATAACATCTTCCACAAAACAAAAAGAACCCATGTTTTGTTTTTCCCTCAAGTTCTTTTGACTACTGTACACCATACCACTTGTCGTTTTTTTTCCACGCACGACTTGGATTCACTATATTTGGCAGTCTCTAGAGATATCCATGTATTATCCACTTATTCAAGTCCTTCACAAAACGTTAAAAGGGGACACAACTGCATTGTAACTCAAATACACACACGATACTGGGTGAGTCAATTTACAAAGACAAAAAATACACTCGCACAACACAAAAATGGGCAAACCAAAGAACAAGAGGGTGTGAAATAAACAGAACGGTGCACAATATTCTTCCCTGCCTGGAGAAATCGTTTTCGTTTTAGTAGAGGTTTTACGGTGCTCGCAACTGCATAATATGAGCTCATATGAGCACCAGAAGATTAGAGGTGTTACAAGAGAGTAACAAACATAAAGAAGAAGAAGGGGAGATAAGGACGATAGACGTTTGATAGGAAAGAAGAAGCAAACCACACCAGAGCACCCGCCAACCACCCACTGTCTGGAGAAATGTCACAACAAGTACTTGACAACATAAAGTAATTGACAACATAAAGTACTAGACAACATAAAGTACTTGACAACGGCGCGACATGTTGAGCAATATAGCAAAAAGTACTTGACAACGGCACGTCACTTTCAGCAATATAGCAAAAAGTACTTGACACCAGCGTGTCACACGTAGCAATACAGCAAAAAGTACTTGACACCAGCGTGTCACACGTAGCAATATAGCAAAAAGTACTTGACACCAGCATGTCACACGTAGCAATATAGCAAAAAGTACTTGACAACAGCGCGTCACTTTCAGCAATATAGCAAAAAGTACTTGACACCAGCGTGTCACACGTAGCAATACAGCAAAAAGTACTTGACACCAGCGTGTCACACGTAGCAATATAGCAAAAAGTACTGATGGAAATGGATCCCATCGAGGTTCTTCCATGAGGGGGAAAAAAAAAAAATCCCCCCAAAAATTAGGACGGGTTCCGATTTTTTCTGAGTACTTTTACAGTTCTGTGGATCCCATCAATCTAGGTGTAAATACTTAGGTAGGTACTCACGTATTTGCCGAGGAAGGAGCGGTTGTCTCCATCCTGGTTCTTCAGCTTCTCCTGCTCGTCTCTCTTCATCTTTTCGATGTACGTCTGTGTGTCCGGGCTGTGACACACACATATATCATAATAATGATAACAATAATAATAATATAATAATAAAAATTATATAATGATACAGTAATACTACTACTACTACTACTGCTAATAATAACAATAATAATATAATACAAATAACTATAATTATTATCATTACTTTACTAATACTAATAATAACAAAAATTGGTCACAAGTAAGAAAAGAGAAGTATGGGTGAGAGAGACAGAGATAGTGAGAGAGAGAGAGAGAGAGAGAGAGAGAGAGAGAGAGAGAGAGAGAGAGAGACAGAGAGAGAGAGAGAGAGAGACAGAGAGAGAGAGAGAGAGAGACAGAGAGAGAGAGAGAGAGAGAGAGAGAGAGAGAGAGAGAGAGAGAGCAGAGACTGTGCCCACCATTTCGGAACTTCACGGTGACATTAAAGATGGTTCTAGTAGAGAACGGGATAGAGGGAGCCCACGTCCCTTGTGACTCATTGGAGCAGAGGAAGATAGGACTAACGCTAACATTACTTTAACGCAATCCCTCATCATCACTACCATTATTTCCAAAATCATCATTGCTCTCAGATCAATGACTTACATCTACAATCCTGGAATCTCTATCTGTAACACTCACTTGTTATACTAAGTATACACGTAATACACTATTGGACACTATCATACGCACTTTTTTCTGCTAATCAGAAGGCGTCAATCTATACATATATAATTGCGTACATGTGTATGGTTGTTTTCTTTAGCTGAAAAAACTACGAAACCTAGAACCATGAAAAAATGACTGAAAGTAGTTCAAAAACCAAGTTCAGTTTCTATCAATTCAGTAAGAGCTTGCATTTGCCAACAATTTTTTTGAAAAATAGAAAACACCATCGGCCGTTTACGATTTTCTCGTTCATCATTTCAATGCAGAGTTCAAGACATATTTCGTTTTCTATGATACAAAAATTTAGACTTCCGTTCACATGCAGTGCGCACTGAACCCACAATGATCTGACGATTGAGTCCGTTCATCGAACGGGGTGCCCAGTTAGTCTCATAGAAATGGGCAAGGGATATAAAAAAAAGACATGCATGTTCCACTGACCTGGGTCCAGCCACCGTGGTGGTCACCTCCACAGCCGTGCGCCACTGGCTCAGGTTTGTGTCTGGCACGTCCAGACCAGCGCACGATGACACGTCCGCACGGATACTCACACCCAGAACCTCCCCAGATTGGTCGAAATTCACTGTGATCTCGTCCTTGAGTCCCGACTCGACAATCCCGCACTGCAAGAAAAGATAAAGACGTTTGTGTCACATAAGTGGAAGGAAAGAACAAGAAATGAAGAGTTGTGGGAAAGGACAGGACAAAGGGATATAGATGTAGAAACAGGACTGAGAAAGTGACAATGGATTGTTTAGTTTTAGTTTTAATAAGTGTTTTACAGCATTTGCAACACAATAAGGTCATATAAATATAAGTGCCGAAGCTTAGAGGTGTTACAAGAAAGTAACAAACACGAAAAAGAAGGAGGGGAGATAAAAACGATAGCTGATTGATAGGAAGAAGAAACAAACCCCACTAGAGCATCCGCCAACCACCCATGCAATGGATGGGACGCACCCTCAGAAAGCCCAGCGGAAACATCACAAGACAGTCACTGCAGTGGAACCCACAGGGAGCACGAGGCAGGGGTAGGTCACGGGAAACATGGAGGAGATACGTGGAGAGGGACATGAGAGAGATGAAGCTCACTTGGAATGAGCTTGGAAGGATGGCCCAGGACAGAGATAGATGGAAGGAGCTTGTATGTGGCCTATACCCTGCCAGGGGTGGAAGGCATTGATGATGACGATGATGATGATGATGATGACGATGATTTGTGTCATGCCAATGTCGAATCAGACACTCATCAATTTTTGGGTACATAGAGTTATTGCTGTACATTACTCTATGGATTACAGATCCCCTTTTTTGTTTCTTCAAAACACCTCGTAGGAATTACTTTTATTTTGTACCTAAAAATTGAATCAGGTTATATTTCCTACTACAGTAACAACAATCACTTGGGTCTCATCGGCAACTTGTGACGTAGTTTACCAGAGCTTACTGGCCTCCTTGATAATAATAAATGACATTTATATAGCGCTCAGCCCCGATTAAAGTACACAGGCTCTGAGCGCTTTACAATACAGTACAACATACAACAGTAACATAAAACGTTGTGTTCTGACTAAATGAAAATCTCTCCAAATATTCATCTTATTTATTTAAAAACAGCAGCAACTTCAGCTGACATTTGAATGAATCAAAAGATTTGATCTCTCTTAAAGTGCTTGGTAAAGCATTCCAGATCTTGAAGCCTTAAAATACATTTTCTCGCCACCACACAGCAAAAACATTACCCACAATACATTAAGGTCAAGGAGCAGTGCATTAATTTAACTCACTCAACCCTGCTGTTTATTTTAGCAGCTTGTCGCGGGGGAGCGACGTTTCGGAGGTGTTTTCAGAAAATTCATTGTGAAAAAACTATTGAAGATATGTATGTGAAATTGTCAGTGAGAAAAGAAGACGCAATAAATTACGTTTCAATCTAAACAGATTGTTGCTATCTCCAATATTTGTTAAATTTTATATGAATTTTCAAATTTGACCCAAATTTGTGTCATGAAACTTTGAGGTGGTGACCAGTTCCTCAACCCTCAAAACGTGCCCCAATTGCCATATCTAAGTGTAAAATAGCACACCAACAATTAAACATATAATTAATATAAGTGTAAAATAGCACACCAACAATTAAACATATAATTAATATAAGTGTAAAATAGCACACCAACAATTAAACATATAATTAATATAAGTGTAAAATAGCACACCAACAATTAAACATATAATTAATATAAGTGTAAAATAGCACACCAACAATTAAACATATAATTAATATAAGTGTAAAATAGCACACCAACAATCAAACAAACATGCAGAAACTTGCGGAAAAAAATATGAATGAATTCAAACTTTCTTCATTGCCAATAAATTTCCTTTGAGTGATGATACTCAAAAACTAAATTCGTCTCAAACGAAAGGGAACTAACTGCCCTATTGTTCCAACATCCCAAGATGGCCACTGAGGCGATTGTCTCCCTGGACAAAAAGTATACGGTCGGGATCGTCATAATGGCGATATCGGGGTGAGCCGTCAATGGAAAAAGATCGCCACTGTGGTGATAACGGGGCTGAGTGACTTAACCCTACCGTGCTCCCTGGGGTCATTTTGTACCCACAGGGTTGTATTCTTCACATTTTAGAATACTTGTTCTAGTATGAAGATCTCTTTGAAACTTTCAGTATTTCTCAAAAAATCATTTTGGTAGACTGCTATGCAAAGCGTACGAATCGGATTAACGAGTAAATTTCGTCTTTGGAAAGTGGTGGCACAGAGTTCCCCACGTAGTATGGATACGATAGTAAAACACGACGTATGGATAGGGTTAAGAATGAGGAAATTTTCCAAAAATGCTCTCTTGAGAGACGGTTTTACCAAAGGAAAGTTCACTTACCGCCTTGGTGGCTGAGCTGACATAGGAAGCGATCCCGTCGTTGCTCGTTTTGATCGGGATACGAACCCTGTACAAGCCATCAGTCTGGGCTGAAGACTAGAAGAAAGGAAGTGGTCACAAAAAGTGAAACAAAGAAGAAGAGACAAAAAGCAAGATAAAGAAGAAGAGACCAGCAGTTCTGAAACACACACAACTGTCTATTGCTGGAGAAAGGCAAAGCACTCTTTGTAACAAGATTTGACTTAACGGCTACAATACATCGGTTAAGATGTTCAAAATCTTGGGCCCAAAAGGAGTTTTTTTTAGTAGAGGGTTTTACGGCGCTCACAACTGCATAAGGTCATATCAGCGTCACCCAAAAGGAATATGTTATACCAAGATTTCAGTTTGTACAGTAATTCAATTCCGTTAAACTTTGTAACAAAGTGCAAACTGAGACCTTGATAAATGATATAACTTATTCCTTTTGGACCCAAGATTTTGAACATCTTAACCAAGGTATGTATTAGCGTGTACATTGAACCAATGTTTTACTGTATTCTATTTAGGGTAATAATAATAACAATAAATTGCATATATATAGCGCATTTCCACTAAGAAGTACTCAGTGTGCTGTACAATAATACGAAGAACATATGCAGCGCACAGCTCCTATAGTATTCCTCTTTTTCTCTCTCTCTCACTCTCTCTCTCTCTCTCTCACTCTCTCTCTCTCTCTCTCACTCTGTCTCTCTCTCTCTCCAGTACATCCTTGAGTAAAGACAAAGCTTACCCAAACACCCTCGCACACATTGATGAATTCACACAGTCATAAATTCTTACAGAACAGAACAGCATGAATAAACAATATTGAGAGAACGTAATAGATACTGAGAGAACATATTAATATTTGTATTGGGAATGTCGGAAAGTACAAATTGAAGCTGGACTGAAACAAATGCGTTTTAAGAGCTGATTTAAATTTTGATAAAGTTGTAGATGAGCTGAAATCTATATAACGTTTGATCAATATGGGGAGATCAATAGAACGTTTGATCAATATGGGTAGATCAATATAACGTTTGATCAATATGGGGAGATCAATAGAACGTTTGATCAATATGGGTAGATCAATAGAACGTTTGATCAATATGGGTAGATCAATAGAACGTTTGATCAATATGGGTAGATCAATATAACGTTTGATCAATATGGGGAGATCAATAGAACGTTTGATCAATATGGGGAGATCAATAGAACGTTTGATCAATATGGGGAGATCAATAGAACGTTTGATCAATATGGGTAGATCAATAGAACGTTTGATCAATATGGGTAGATCAATAGAACGTTTGATCAATATGGGGAGATCAATAGAACGTTTGATCAATATGGGTAGATCAATATAACGTTTGATCAATATGGGGAGATCAATAGAACGTTTGATCAATATGGGTAGATCAATAGAACGTTTGAAAGGCCAAAAAATTCTAGAAAAGCACTGTTCTGTCAATTACAACAAAAATGATTTAATTTCAGATGACACGACTGAAGATTTGAAATAAACACTGTTCAAGTTCCGCATGGGAAACATGCCCCGCCCCTCCCTTCCTGTAATAACAAGAGAAACAACGACAAACCACGCTGCTTACACAATTCACAGAAAACTGGCAATACAAGGTACAGGAAGTGAGCGAATACTTTTGACCTTAGACAAATTCAAGGCATGACACTGACACCATTACTTCTGAAGAAATAATTAACCTGCTTCTTAACAATTTAAAATATTCATACGCCCTGGGGTCATTTTTGTACCCCCGGGGTTGTATTCTTCAGATTTTAGAATACTTCTAGTATGAAGATCTATTTGAATCTTTCAGTATTTCTCAAAAAATCATTTTGACAGACTGCTATGCAAAGCGTTCCGGTTGGATTAACCAGTAAATGTCCTCTTAGGAAAGTGGTGGCATAGAGTTCCCCACGTCGTATGGATACGATAGTAAAACACGGCGTACGGATAGGGTTAAGTGGTGGCACAGAGTTCCCCACGTCGTATGGATACAATAGTGAAACACGACGTACGGATAGGGTTAATGGCTACTCTTTACTATGAAACAGACAGAGGACAATGGTAGTAAAAAAACCCGAAAGGGAGCAAACAGCATGAAAGCACCATCTAATTGCTTGCAGAGCTTGAGGATAGAACTATTTGATAAATTTTATCAAATAAAATTCTATCCTCAACCTCTGCAAATTAAATGTGGGTGTATTTACTCCCCAATCAACACAATTTAGATCATTTAGGAGGCGTGCTTCCGACCGTGCCTGTCAGAGCCAACCTAGATTGAGAGGGATACAATATGCCGGCAGACAGACCCGTGCTGAGAGGGATACAATATGCCGGCAGACAGACCCGTGCTGAGAGGGATACAATATGCCGGCAGACAGACCAGGACTGAGAGGGATACAATATGCCGGCAGAAAGATCAAGAAGACACTCAATAAAAAAATTCTCCCCACTCTGGAATCTAGTTTTAGTAAGAGTTTTACAGCACTTGCAACACAATAAGGTCATATAAGTGCAAAAGAATAGATGTGTTACAAGAGAGCAACATACACAAAAAAGAAGGTGGAGAGATGAGGACGGTAGATTTTTTATAGGAAAGAAGGAACAAAGCACACCAGAGCACCCGCCAACCACCCACACTCTGGAATCAAACTTGGGACTTCCACATGCTCTACCAAAGCCCCTAGCAGTTACTTCACTACAGACGCCGGTGAAATTTAAATAAAGAGGAGTGAAAACAATAATTGACTTAACACAAGAAATTAAACTTTGCAGATAAAAAACCCACAAACAGAATGGCACTTACCCGCAGCAGATCAATGTCTGACGGCGAGAGTGACGTGGATGCTGTAAACTGCGCTTTGCTTTCCTTCAGCGAGTGGATCACAATGGTCCCCCGCTTTGTAAACTGATCGGCAAGACCTACGTCGAAGAATGACACAACAGACAACTCTTAGTTATAGAGAGAGTTTTAAGGCACTTGACTTGCAACACAAGTGCCGAAGATTAGAGGTGTTACAAGAGAGTAACATACACAAAAAAGAAGGAGGGGAGATAAGGCTAAGGATGATAGATGTTTTTTATAAAGTTTTAGTAGACGTTTTACGGCGCTCGCAACTGCATAAGGTCATATGAGCGCCAGAAGACTAGAGGTGTTACAAGAGAGTAACAAACATAAAAAAGAAGAAGGGGCGATAAGGACGATAGCTGATTGATAGGAAAAAAGAAGCAAACCACACCAGAGCACCCGCCAACCACACATCAACAGACAACCTTACAACACAACCATGATGAACATGTTCACTGTTCACACACACAGAGGAAGTGCCCGAGAGAAAGAGAGGGCTGTTTTAAACAATGTTATTACTTCATACATCTCCATTGTTTCAAAAGCTTTCACCCAAGGTTTATTTCACAACAAAATGCTAAAAGGTTGTCGACAACTCCAAGGCCTTTGACCTTTGTTTTTTCCTTCAGCCCATGCCACATTCATTGCAGAACATTGTGTTGAACCGTACCTACTTCGAGAAATCACTAGTAAAAGAATTTTTATATAGTGAAATTGAAGACATTTTTCCACCAATGTGGACAGTCTTTGTATCAATTTTATTTTTTAAAGATAATATTTTTATTTTTTAATTATGCCTTTCAAAAAAAAATTTTTAATTTTTTTTTTGGGGGGGGGGAGGGGGCTGGCTCAGCACCTTTCAGGTCCATTTATAAACACATTTCAAATCTGTGAGGGTTTTACTGAGAAAACATGGATCAAAAGAACAAAAAGAATGTAAATTTACAGTTTCTAAAGATGCTATAAACAGCAGCTTTGGAAAGTCATCAAATTTTGGGCACCATTTGTTCTTCCTTTACCTCTGACGCCAAGTGTGCCCCATCTTCTTCAATGGCAAATACCTTGACTTCTATTCAAGATAGATGAGTATTATTCTTTTTAAATCAGAAGCAATGCAAATTAAAAAGCTTAAATATCACATCAAAAACTTTATTATAAATGTCCCCCAAAATTGATGGGGCCTGATTCCACCGGGATTTATTGCAAAAATGAACCTAAATATTTTTAATTTCATTTGCAGTAAGTAACACAAATATTGCCATAAGTTGCGTACTGCAGAGTTCTATCTGCTTAGTACGGTCTATAGTTTTGACACGGATGGAAATGGAATCTCATGTAAAAATAAAATTTTATTCTGAAAACAAATTGCCGAGGTCTCTAATGTTACTGGAGTACATGGCAGGTCTGTTTACAGCACCAGGCTATTTTCAGTCTTTTTTTTAAAGGAGTTTTATGTCACTTGCAACACAATAAGGTCATATATATAAGTGCCGCAGAATACATGTGTTACAAGAGAGTAACAAATACAAAAAAGAAGGAGGAGAGATTAAGGACGATAGATGTTTGATAGGAAAGAAGGAGCAAACCACACCAGAGCACCCGCCAACCACCCACATTTTCAGCCTGCACTTCCCACTTCCCTCTGACCCAAGTACAACTGGAGTCCTTAACTTCTCCCTCACACACAGTGTGACACAGCCAATACTAATTGTGTCTCTGTCATTTTTTTGGCAGATACTAAGAAAGTTCCAGTACTGCTTTTGTTTCCAGTTTTAGGAGATAATATTAACGAGTGGAACCCACAGGGAGCACGAGGCAGGGGTAGGCCACGGGAAACAGGGAGGAGAAGTGTGGAAAGGGACAAGAGAGAGACGAAGCTCACTTAGAACGAGCTCGGAAGGATGACCCAGGAGAGAGATAAATGGAAGGAGCTTGTATGTGGCCTATAGATACCCTGCCAGGGGTGAAAGGATGGCCCAGGACAGAGATAAATGGGGAGCTTGTATGTGGCCTATAGATACCCTGCCAGGGGTGAAAGGATGGCCCAGGACAGAGATAAATGGAAGGAGCTTGTATGTGGCCTATAGATACCCTGCCAGGGGTGAAAGGATGGCCCAGGACAGAGATAAATGGAAGGAGCTTGTATGTGGCCTATAGATACCCTGCCAGGGGTGAAAGGATGGCCCAGGACAGAGATAAATGGAAGGAGCTTGTATGTGGCCTATAGATACCCTGCCAGGGGTGAAAGGATGGCCCAGGACAGAGATAAATGGAAGCAGCTTGTATGTGGCCTATAGATACCCTGCCAGGGGTGAAAGGATGGCCCAGGACAGAGATAAATGGAAGCAGCTTGTATGTGGCCTATAGATACCCTGCCAGGGGTGAAAGGATGGCCCAGGACAGAGATAAATGGAAGCAGCTTGTATGCGGCCTATACCCTGCCAGGGGTGAAAGGATGGCCCAGGACAGAGATAAATGGAAAGAGCTTGTATGTGGCCTATACCCTGCCTGGGGTGAAAGGCATTGATGATGATGAGAAGAATATAATATTATTTCAGAGACATTTCGATAGATTACTGGAAACATTTGTGACTGGGTTTGGCGTGGGCAGCGCTCTGTGTGGGAAATATTGGAACTGGGTCTGAGGGATGAGAATCCAGGAGGGAAATATAATATAATATATTTATCTGCGACTGGGAGTGTAAGGGTTATATATGACATTCATCAAACCATGTACTTACCTGACTGAAAAGAATGTTCCAAGACCAAGGTTCGTGATCCTTCAAACTCATCATCAGGCTTTCAGGTCATCACATGAGGAAAGAGGGTGGATAATCGCGGATTAAATTTTGCAGAAATATCACACTTTTTCACAGCAAAACATCTGTCATACATCATAAAGAAAGCAGTGGCAAACTGACTCACAGAAAACCAACAAAACATCTGTCATACATCATAAAGAAAGCAGTGGCAAACTGACTCACAGAAAACCAACATAACAGATGAACAGAAAAATGAAAAGCACAAAGTACAGTTGAAACTGTTTAAGACAGTTAAATGTAGAAGACGCTTCTTTCCAATTGGCTGCTAATTTAGTAAGGTAGCGTCAATTGCCACCGAGTGACGCGGTGGCAATTGACAAAAATTGACTTTTGTCAATTGCCAGCGAGTGGAGCGGTGTCAAGTCTGAAAACAACACAATCTTTATACATAATATTAATATAATGTGTGGCTAATGGGTCGATTTGTTCTCAACTAATTTCATTGGACGAGCATCTAGTCTAGAGCTACGGTACCAATTCTTGGCGTGTTTTCAAAGAGACGTAGATCTAGGCCTAGATCTAGGCTAGCCTTGGCCTACACTTTGGTGTAGAACCAACACAGGCAATTCTAGAAGTAGAAAGTCACAAACGCACACAAACTCAAATAGAAATTCACGTTATATCGGGGAACATAAATCGGGGGACGGGGGTCCGGAAAAGACACACACACACAAACACAGAAGGACAGAGAGACGAACGCACAACACCGAGCACAATAAGCTAGATCTGCCCACCAATGCAAAAGAGTTCCAATTTACTCGGTGGCAATCATAGACGTACACTATAGGTAATTCTATGGTGGCAATTGACAAAAAGTCCATTTTTGTCAATTGCCACCGCGTCACTCAGTGGCAATTGACACTACCTTTTAGTAATGTGATGTAATCTTTTCCTGGGATACCCACAGACTCCGAGGAGGTACCGCATGGAATGACGTGTTTTCAGTAATAACATTTCGGATTTCCTCGATCTATCTAGTCTAAAATCTAGATCTAGATCTAGATTCTAGATCTAGAAATCTAGATCTGGTATCTAGTAACTACTAGTACTTGGACATGATGGAAGATCACTCAGATCTAGAACCTAGATCTAGCTAGATCGTAAAATAGTTGGAAGTGGCTATTCTCATCCGGGGTGAGAATAGAAAAACGATCTACCTCTCACCCCGGGTGAGACTTGCCACCGTAGGCTATTCTCACCCGGTACGAAACAAGACCTGCTTTTCCTCATTTTGGAATACTGTCTATCGGTGTGGATGATCAAATTGATAAAAGCCAAGAAAAAATTACGTTATAGCACAAAAGTAAGCTAATTTGATCGTCTTCAAAGATGCTATGGCTATTTCACTGTTCGAATCGAGCCGAACTACACGGGTCGCCATTTTGTTTTGCCCGGAAGTTCTCGCAAGATCTACTCCTCCCCTCTCTCTCTCTCTCTGTCTCTTTCTGAATACTGTCTATCGGTGTGGACGATCAAATTGACCAAAACAAAGTTTAAAAATGATGTTAAAACACAAAAGTAAATTAATTTGGTTGTCTACAAATATGCTACGGCTATTTAACTTTTCGAATCGAGCCGAACTACGCGGGTCGCCATTTTGTTTTGACCGGAAACTCTCGCGCTACTCCTCTCTCTCTCTCTTTCTCTCTCTCTCTCTCTCCACTGCCCACAGACAAAATTGTACGCTTTTAGTAGGCTACAGTTGTAATGGAACCTTTGTTCACGGCACAGAATTCTACAATTTTTCTGTTATCACAGTGTAGAATTCTGTGCTTTAGGCAGGGTGAACGCAAAATTTGTTGGCCTAGATTTCTAGATCTAGGCTATAACGGTGAACGCGCAGCGGGTGAGAATAGTCAAAAGACTCGCCTGCACTATTCTCACCCAGGGTGAGAATAGAGGTGGCCAAAATAGTTGGGCCAAATAGTTGGCCTGATCCTACGTTTAATCAGTGACCCATCCTGCAGTACACTGCAGACGCTTGTAGTCATGTAATGTCAACAGTGCAACGGACAACAATAGATCTAGATCTAGGCCTACAAAGCCACTGCCATCCATGACCACACACTGTCACCTCCTGTGACACACAGACGGCGTCAATGACAATAGTCAACGTCAACTGTCAATGATGGCATGTTGATTTCCATTTCTAAATTGATACAGACGTCTAAATGCAAGATCCATACATTAGAAACAAATTCAAATTGAACTTTTCGATAGCCTTTAATAGTGCAGCCACTCACAATGTCCCTATTTGCAAAGCAGAACGCATTTAATAAAAGAAGTCCCACAAAAAAACTCAACATCTTGCTGGGCGTCGCCATTTTGATTCCTGTTGAAGCAATGAGAGTAAAAGCCCTTGATTTATCAGATTTGGCCAATCAAATTGTAGCTGTCAAATATTGACCAATGACAGAGGGGTTAACAAGCTGCTATTCTCGAGACTCGAGACCGGGATTGCCTGAAGCCTGAAGCGAGTTGTAGCCTAGCCTAGGCCTCTTCAATTCCTGATCAAGAGATCGAAAGTGAAATAAATTTCTTAATCAATAGTCTAAAGATCAAATCTTTGAGACTTTATTTGTTCAGTGGGATCAAAGGTTAACCTGTAAACATGTTTGGTGGTTTTGGTCAAACTCCACAAACCACTGCATCAAGTAAGTAGCCTGCTTCATCATTCATGTCAACATATTCATATTCATGATAATAATAGATCTAGAATCTAGATCTAGAATCTAGATTCTAATCTAGATCTAGAATCTAGATATTTAGAAATAGATAGATCTAGAGTCTAGTCTAAGAGTCTAGATATCTAGATCTAGAAAATCTAGATCTAGATCAAGATCTATATCTAATTCATATTATCATGTCATGTTGTAGTCTTGAGATCTCTTCTGTGATGGATGTGGAGGATTGTTTTGTTTAGATTTAATACCTGACCACAGTGAAGTGTCAGTGTCAGCCTTAGCCCTCTTGTAAACTTGTCTTGGCCACTTTGAAGATTTATAAGCAGAGAGAGATTTCACACGTACACCGCCCTAACTCACTTTGGACCAAAGTTTGGGTGTGGTAAGACAAGAGGCTCTAGGGTTAGGGTTAGGGACCAAAGCGAAACATACCTGAGGCTGAGGCTATGAAAAACACACATCGGAATTAAACGCGGAAATCTTGACAATCGCCAATTTCTCGGCATTTCTCTACCAGCATTTTCAGGTTGTGAAGGGTTTTAGATGGCACAGAGTAGGAATTTATTGGGGGCGGAACGGGAGGATTCCAACTTGACAGGTTTCCGTTAAAGTATGGCAGTTTCAAGTGCAGATAAATCATAGTGATTGGACGCAATTTGTTTCTAGATCTACTTTAAAAAAATATTTGATCATCATCAGTCAGTGGTGTGTTTTGAAGTCTCTTTAGCCTTAGTAGACATCATTGGACATGTCATGATATATGTTTTTTTCTTCCTCGCAGACACGGCCTTTTCAATGGCTGGAGGAGGTGGGTTCTCCTTCACCTCCCCGACGGGAGGACAGCCGGCCACGGGCACAGGCTTCGGACTCGGGGGAGGGACGGCGCCCGCTGGATCAGCGACGGGTGGAGCCACCACAGGCTTCAACTTTGGTGTTGCGGCGACAACTAAAGGTATTGTTTTTTATTGCATGGAGTTGTTTTGAATTTATGAAAATTACATCAGGGCTGGTGTAAATGGGTTTTTTTTTGTCCTTGGACCCAATAGCCAAAGGCAGGAGTCACCAGACTACGGCCCATGGGCCAGATGCAGTCCACAAGATCAGTTCGTCTAGCTTCTTGTCTTGCCAACAAGTAGGGGCGGAAAACTCTCTGCTGTGCTCATTTTAAAACGTATTTTTCAAGACTTTCATTTATAACGTCTAACTAATTTATCGCCTCTCTTCCTTGGCTTAAACTTTCCACGTGTATGCATGAAAAATCTTTTTTTTTAAAGTATCACAGTACATGTGGGCCAATTTAAGGTACTACACTGTACTTTACGAAATAAAAAATTATTTTTAAAATGTATTTGCCCCACTCTTGGCATTTTGTATCCGATCCACTTACTTTAAAAAGAGTTTGGTGTCCCCTAACTTTTATGGTGATCATTTCTGCAAAGTTTTGTCAGTCTTTGGTGTCGTCCACGGAGGATGTTTCAATCCTCACTGCAGATACACACCAAAGTCTGCAGTTGTAGAAAGGGCCAACCGCTTAATGCATGTCAACTCTGTATGTATGGTATAAGGTTTTACGGCGCTCGCAACTGCTAAGGTCATATTGTCAACTCTTAACATTTATATCTTACTGCATGGTATGATACTATGTTAAGTAATATATTATTAGACCTGCATGTTTGCCGACAATCGTCTGAAATCCGACAATCGCGACCCAACCCGTGAACCGGCCGATGCTATCGCTAGGCCCACCTGTATCAGTCAATGTGCGTAGTGCGAGGCTTGGCCGACTGCCAGCGCCCCCTTTTTCTCCCGTCGGCTTCGTCGGCACTTTCGTTTTCGTGCTGACCGCCGACGCGCGCACCGCCGACTGCCGACGTCGGCGTTTCCGACATAATTGTTGGAACCTAGGTAGAAATGCGAATACGAAAAAGGACGACAATCTAAATTATCTACTTTCAGTTTCGTGCTCGAGCTGCCATTTTGAATTTCGTTTGTTGACTAATTCAATTGTTCAGATTGTGTAGATTCAAGTCCGACTCACTTGTTCTAATAAAATCTAGATCTAGATTAATATAATATAGATCATTATAGACCTCAATGGAGGATTCATCAATGGAGGATTCATATTCCAATTCTATTGTGTCAAACCCTATCATAGGTTGTGCTGTAATATTAATATTGGCATTGGT